CGCAGTACATTGTGGGTGGACGGCCCGGAAATGGATGTATACAATATTGTGAATGCAAAACAGCAGGGGGAAACTGAAGGTGCAGGGAGCAGATAGGAAGGGGGAAAAAAGCTGGGATCAGGAACAAGGGAGAGCAGGTACAAGGCTGCAGGATACAAGGTTGGAGCAAGAACAGAATATCGGCTAGCAGTATCTGGCAGCAAGCAAACACTGGTGAAAGAGGCACTTAGTAGGGGAGGACCTAAATACCCTCCCAGCAGCCAGCATCATGTGGAAACTGATTACTGGTGGCTGCTTGGAGGCACCTGCTAGTGGACACTGGAATTACAACCCTCCGCCCAGGGTACCACAGTGCCACCAGCAGGTGATCCAGGTCCTGACACCTACATCAAGTCAGTTGACCAGCATTTTCTGGGGAAAAATAAGAAAAAAAAAACATATGCATTAGATCTCTTCATGTACATTCACCATGTTTTATCTTTTAAAAGCTGAACAAGCAAATAGGAAACAGCTAAATGCACAAATGAAATGCATACAAGGAAGCTGTTTTACCTGCCAAAAGATTTGTAATTCTGTCAATCCAGTCCTGAGATTTTCAAATCTCTGCCACACAGTACAGCCCTGTCTGGCAGGTCAAGAGACCTAATATTTCTCTGCTGCAACATTACAGATCTCCTCACAGATTTAAAAATTACATTACAATAAAATCATATTAAAGCTTGTATAAGATTTCTAAGCTAATGTGCGATGCAATGTAAACTAATATATCATTCAAGATGACACTCATTTTGTGTCTGATACCTATCTGATACCTCCTCTGGGTTGCTGTTTTTTATTCTTTTTTTTTTTTTTTTTAATAACATCCATTAAAAAAATAGAAAAGAAAAATATGTCTTTTAAATATTCCGTGTTTAATTTCACATTGCGATTTCCATAAGTTTCTCAATAGTTATAGAATATTAGTGCTGTATTCATTGTACCAGAAGATGGCGCTGTCTGGCTATCCATTGATATGTTCGTTTCTGACACAAAGCCTGTTAGGACTTTTTTTCAGTTTATGGATTTTTATGTTAATTATTGATATTTATTGAACCCAATTAATTTTTACTGTTGTTCTGGTTTTTGAACTCAAGTTTTTAATTGTCCTTTTTGCTACGTAACATAGTGTTGGGTATTTTGCCTGCCATGTGAACTGTCCCTCCTACATACAGCTTTTGCTGATTAAAAACTGATGAGCTTGCCATTTTTCTTTTTGCATTTTGTTATATGTGCCACTGGGAAGTCTATGGTTGTCCTTTATGAGCCTGGTCCTTTCATTGGCTGTTGGAGATTTTGTAATTCTGGGGATGGTTTGTTTCTCCTTTCTTTTAGCTATATTCTGTGCTTTATGTACACTGCAAGTCCTACAGTCCACAGTCCATCTTGGGAGTGAGCAAGAGAGGATGGCTACGTTCCTACATATGGTAGGACAATGGAGAATGAAGGTAGCCGCCCCCCAACAAAAAGTCAGATCACAGCAGCAAGAAAAAGAATTTGGTGATCTGGAGGAGGCTGAGAGCAATAGAAGGGACTTTTTTTTAGTTCTTCCTTTACTGGGTTGGGAAGTTCCAGTTGTATGAATAGCCTTTGTCTATAAAAAGACCATACGGCATTGAGAATATACAGCAACATTGAGCATAGTATCTGGAGAGGAGTCATATGAATTGTGTAACATGCTGCACAGTTTACTGAATGGGGCAGTCTGAAGTATGCCATGTACAGCACAGTGTACAGAATGGGGCAGTATTGAGCATGCCATGTATAGCACAGTGTACAGAATGGGGCAGTATTGAGCATGCATGCCATGTATAGCACAGTGTACAGAATGGGGCAGTATTGAGCATGCCATGTATAGCACAGTGTACAGAATGGGGCCGTATTGAGCATGCCATGTATAGCACAGTGTACAGAATGGGAAGTATTGAGCATGTCATGTATAGCACAGTGTACAGAATGGGGCCAGTATTGAGCATGCCATGTATAGCACAGTGTACAGAATGGGCAGTATTGAGCATGCCATGTATAGCACAGTGTACAGAATGGGGCAGTGCCATTGAGCATGCCATGTATTAGCATAGTGTACAGAATGGGGCAGTATTGAGCATGCCATGTATAGCACAGTGTACAGAATGGGGCCGTTTTGAGCATGCCATGTATAGCACAGTGTACAGAATGGAGAAGTATGGCATGCAGTAGCACATGTACAGATGGGGCAGTATGAGCATGCCATGTATAGCACAGTGTACAGAATGGGGCAGTATTGAGCATGTCATGTATAGCACAGTGTACAGAATGGGGCCGTATTGAGCATGCCATGTATAGCACAGTGTACAGAATGGAGAAGTATTGAGCATGCCATGTATAGCACAGTGTACAGAATGGGGCAGTATTGAGCATGCCATGTATAGCACAGTGTACAGAATGGGGCAGTATTGAGCATGTCATGTATAGCACAGTGTACAGAATGGGGCCGTTATTGAGCATGCCATGTATAGCACAGTGTACAGAATGGAGAAGTATTGAGCATGCCATGTATAGCACAGTGTACAGAATGGGGCAGTATTGAGCATGTATATAGCACAGTGTACAGAATGGGGCAGTATTGAGCATGCCATGTATAGCACAGTGTACAGAATGGGGCAGTATTGAGCATGCCATGTATAGCACAGTGTACAGAATGGGGCAGTATTAAGCATGCCATGTATAGCACAGTGTACAGAATGGAGAAGTTTTGAGCATGCCATGTATAGCACAGTGTACAGAATGGAGCAGTATTGAGCATGCCATGTATAGCACAGTGTACAGAATGGGGCCGTATTGAGCATGCCATGTATAGTGCAGTGTACAGATTGGGGCAGTATTGAGCATGCCATGTACAGCACAGTGTACAGAAAGGGGCAGTATTGAGCATGCCATGTATAGCACAGTGTACAGAATGGTACAGTATTGAGCATGCCATGTATAGCACAGTGTACAGAATGGGGCAGTATTGAGCATGCCATGTATAGCACAGTGTACAGAATGGGGCAGTATTGAGCATGCCATGTATAGCACAGTGTACAGAATGGGGCCGTATTGAGCATGCCATGTATAGTGCAGTGTACAGATTGGGGCAGTATTGAGCATGCCATGTACAGCACAGTGTACAGAAAGGGGCAGTATTGAGCATTGCATGTATAGCACAGTGTACAGAATGGTGCAGTATTGAGCATGCCATGTATAGCCATGTATAGCACAGTGTACAGAATGGGGCAGTATTGGGCAGTCTGAATGGGGCAGTATGCCATGTGTACAGAATGGGGCACAGTGTACAGAATGGGGCAGTATTGAGCATGCCACGTATAACACAGTGTACAGAATGGGGCAGTATTGAGCATAGCCACGTATATGGCACAGTGTTGAGCAGCCACGTATGGGTGTACAGAATGGGGCAGTATTGAGCATGCCACGTATAGCACAGTGTACAGAATGGGGCAGTATTGAGCATGCACAGTGTATAGCAGTATTGAGCAGTGTAGAGAATGGGGCAGTACTGAGCATGCCATGTATAGCACAGTGTAGAGAATGGGGCAGTACTGAGCATGCCATGTATAGCACAGTGTACAGAATGGGGCAGTATTGAGCATGCCATGTATAGCACAGTGTACAGAATGGGGCAGTATTGAGCATGCCATGTATAGCACAGTGTTTGGAAAGGACACCCTAACATTTACGCCAATACCCTCAGCACACCATACCATGCACCCCTATGAACTCGGCCTGATAATGAATGGTCTCACTGGCCATATAACACAAGAGTTCGGGATAATAAAAATGACACGTTTATAATGGTCATGGAACTATAAAGTAAACCTGAATTACTGCAGGAGCAATGTTATTCCTTAAAATACACCAAAACAATTTCATAGACTGTGAGACACTAAAGCTAGCCATATGTTGCTTGAAAATCAGTTGATTTGCCCATGCATGCTGAAAAGGTGGATGTAGGAATCGTCATTGCTGACTATTGTGTTCAGCCGCCACCGCACCCCTGGCTGCTGGAAAATAATGGCACTGCGAGATAGTGACTGCATCTGATAGAAGGCAGTTCCTGTTCAGCCGATACTTTTCAGCCTGGTTCTGTCAATTTTTAAACTGACTTATGTCAAGCTGGTTGGTGCTTGCAGGGCCACCTACGGCTCGAAGTTATTGCCAAATTTGGCAAAATTGGAGCCATCTATGGTCAGTCATACACAGATCATGATGGATGGACACAGGCTGATTGATATTGGCAGACACAGATTAAGATGGATGTGTACAGACTGAGAGACAATGAGGAACAGAGAATGTGACACACCATGGATGATGGTGACAGATGGGAGATTTATGTAAATACAGGATAGGTCCTTTAACAGCCAGACACAATCTGACAAGCATGATAAGCACACCTGAGTGAGGGTTTACATTAATTTACATTAAGCTCTACCTATCTTTGTGGTTGGCCAAGAACACCTTGAACAACCCCCGTTAGGCAATCCTCAAACTGTATGAACAAATATATTGTGATGTCAAAATGTGGGGTTAATTAAAAGATAATTTACAGGAAGTGCTGTAAATGTATTAATTGTATGGTATGAACTGACACCCATGTTGTTGTTGATGAAAAAAAAAAAAAGACATTTCCTAAATGATAAAAATAAATAAATCCACATTTCATGTGGTAATACATGATTAGCTGCTGAACTGAACTTAAAGATCCTACCCACTTTGCACCCGTATCTCCCTTTCCCAATGTACAATGAATTAATCATTTTTTACAATGAATACCATACTCTTTTATTAATTTGGGTTTTCTATCTGTGTGACGTCATCAGCTCCTTTAGTAAAGTTTATTGTGCAAGGCTGCCTGGGGGGAAGGATCCGGGCAACAAAACCGACTTTCGTCATGTCAGTAACCATATCATACGTCTTATGTCTCCACAGCTCTGTCTATGATGACCAGCCAAATGCCCACCAAAGATTTATGGAAAAACTGGACACCCGGATTCGTAATCATGACCGGGAAATTGAAAAAATGTGCAATTTTCACCATCAGGGATTTGTAGATGCAATTAATGAACTTTTAAAAGTGAGGGCTGATGCTGAAAAACTTAAGGTAAGGACTCTTCTATGTTTCCTCTCTGTTAGGTGAACCTAACAGTATTTGGTACCTAGATTGTTTGATTACCATCGGCAATGTGACTAGTAAACTTTTTAAACTTTAGGATTATTGGAAATTGTTCAAACTGTGAGTGTTACAATGTTAGGGTTATTGGTAGAGCATTGCATCTATGTGCATGCTTGAGAATTGTTTCAAAAGAAATGTGATATGTACCATTCATTTTTTTTTTCCAGCTGATTTATGGTGTGATTGCCCACTTTCTGCCCATAATCTGTGGATTGACATTTCCCATGGAATTTGCATGATGCCCTGTGCTTAAGGAACGCATTTCTTTGCCCTATGCAGCAGGTAGCAGCTGACACTGTGTAGCTGTCAATTTGAGCTGTCGGTGGCTGCTTCGTTCCCCACTAATGATTGGGAACCAATGAGGGTGCTTCCAGATCATTTGATCCCTGAACCATACCTGATAACAATTGGACCATTATATTATGATCACATCCCTCATTTAGACTAAATGTGCAGTTATATATACATTTTTGGAAGGGTGGCGTGGGAGTGGCAGTAGCATTCTTTTCCCAATGGAGGGAATTCGGTCTTGGTGTAAGCAAACCTTCATATTTTTCTATTGGACAACAGTAAACAGGTATCATGATTATGGATCAATGAGTCATTGTCCATCTTCTGCCATGATAATCACTTATAGCTTAGTATTGACATTGAACATATACAGACCACCATGGGGAATATTCCTTCAAACTTTGACAGGTCCTTTATGAACAGAGTTTGCTCTGAATATATAAATAAGAAATAAATTACTTTGCAAGAGAACCTATGACTGAAACAGATTTGAAGATTGAAGATCTATTTCTATAGTTGGATACTTCCCTGATTGACCAGATTCTTTATAATACAACACAGGCTTACCTTGTTGGCTTTGAATTTCCCTTTAGACTCTACTTCTGTCCTCATGGTTTAGACTTGAGTGCCGTACCTTGACAGTTATTGGGTTCAATATCTTTTATAAGTAAACTACCACTGCCCATAATAAAAAAGATCAGCTGGACCTGAGAGACCTAGAGTGCTCCCCCACCCCATCCTTGAACCCAGCATTATAAATGAAAATGACTGTAATTTACATACAGGTGGGGCGTTGAGGAGATTCTATGTGGTAGTTGTAGTTTTTAATGGAAACATAACAATCAAGCCTATTTTTAATATTCTGTGAATGTGTTTAGGCAGTTATTAATAATAAAGAAGTAATTTTTATTAAATTGTTGGTATGATCATTGTAACAAAAATAAAAGTTCCCTAACTCACATACATACATACTCATACTAGGTTCAGTTTAGACAGGAGCCAGTTATCCCACCAACATGGCTTGAGAGTGTGGGAGGAAACCGGGGTAGCCAGAGGAAACCCACACAAGCAAAGGATGAACATTCAAGCTCTAAGCAGGTAGCATCTTGGCTGTGATTTGAACCAAGGATCCTAATGCAGGAGGGCAGAGGTGCTAACCAGCTGAGCCACTGTGTATTTAAAATGCACAATTTAAAATAAAATAAAACAAAATAATAATAAATGTATTTAATAAAATGTGCTTTTGTCGGTCTGTAGTATAAACAGCAGGGTTTTTGTTAAACAGCTTACCAAATAATAGCCGAATATGTCATTTAAAATGATGTAAAAATGATTTATATAGGCAAATGAATCATAGTTATAAGTGAGTTAATCAACAAATACTGATACAGCTCAATGTGGCATCTAGGGTTCGGAGACTTCTGGTCATCAGAGGATTAAAAGTATCCAAACACCCTTGCTGATTTCTGCAGAGCTGTTGTATATCCCAAATCCCAAAAAAATGAATGTATTGTGGATAGCTCCACAAGTAGTTAACTGCATCGCTGAAAGATGAAGTACTGAATCTTTGCATGTTAGATTTCCTGCAGAGTTTTATTGGAACTTAACAACAAGTTTGGAAGACACTTGAGAACACTGTTCCACCATCTGTAAAAGTATACCGGCAACATTTCTACCAGTAGAGTTTGGCTGTAGTTCAGCGGCCACATATGGAATGGCTGGTACCTTGAATTTCTGCCTTCTCTCCTCTTTGTTTGTTCATAGCCTTGAACATGGACACTTGAATCTGTGTATGCACGTTTGTAGAAACTTCTGTTCCAAGTAAGGTCTGATCAAAACATGATTGCATGTCCAAGTGCCCTCTGATGGGCATGAGTGGCTTTATACTTTAAAAGCCTTTTTTTAACTTAATCTGACGTTCTAAAGGAAACCAATGGAGAGAATTAGAACTCATTCACACCTGAACGCATGCATTAGTGCTGTGTGTTGACGTGTTTTGATGGCAGTGCATTATGCTTTTGAAGGATTTGATTTTAACTGATTTTAATGGCTAGGATACATGCTACAGGTTGCTGTGCTCAATATGCCAACTGCAGGATGTCTTCTCAACACAATGGTGTAAAAGGGGCGCAGCTAAATAAAACAATGGATGTGTATTGGCAAATGCAGCAAAACTGTAACAGAGTCTTAGCCTTGGTGTGTCAGAGGCTTAAGTAGCCAAAAGATGACTCAATTTTCCTTCCCCATCAACACAGGCAGTGTTAATAGGGAAATGCCTCCCGCAGCACTATTGTGTTCTGCCGGTAGGAAGGGGCACAGGGAGCCTTCCCGGCTGGCAGAAAACAATGATTACCAACAGGCTGGTTTTCAATCAGCCTGCCGACACCTTGATCGAATCTCTTCCGGTTCAGCCATGTATGCCCAGCTTTGGCCCAATAAGCCACCACAGTAGCCCCATCCTATTAATGATGGAGTGTCCTGGGAAGCTGGACTTTGAAAATCAAATGTGCTTGGGTGTATTATGAAGACCCTAATGTGAGTACACCCTTTAGTGAACAAATTTTGCATCATGAATAGAATCTTTGATAGTTTCATAAATGTTGATGGCCTTAGAAAGCTCTGTGTGACCAATTGCCTGCTAACTGCATGGCACTGATATATACCAGAACAAGCAGAAACCCTTTTCTTCCTGTCCTTGCCCAGTAATGATAAAATTTCTCATTAGCTCACTATCTTTTCCATTGTGCCAGACCACGCAATGTTTTTTGCACGTACATGCAGTTGACTCCTACGTCATTGACGGTCCTCCGTGTAGGTCATCACCTGCACATCAATAGTCTTGAGCCCCCATTTTTATTAAGAAGAGTGGTTTGTTCTGCAGGTGCGTCAACGTCGCTGTCAAGTTCTAGCAAAACACACAAAACATTCTCTTTTCCCCTTTTCATTTCCTTCCAGCAGCCCCTGCCAAATTACATTTGTACCCATTGGGAGCCAGCTAGGATTTTCAATTACGTGTGGGATACCGCTGGTAATTGTGCTTTAGTGTTTTAGCTTTGGGAAAGATTACGCTTCGCCTTCCAGAGAAGTGTTAGGAGCTTCAGCAGAGGTCACACTGTACCAACCCTTTTAGCTCCTTTTACACTTCTGCAGAACACAAATGTGGGCAGCAGACAAGTCGAGCGCAGTTCAACGGAGCCTGTGATTGGCAAACCATTATCTAAATGATATTCAGATAACAGGGGACAAAACGCAGCGTCAATGAGGTCATTGAACATTATTGTTCTGAAATTAATGAGATTTTGAATCCATCCGAATGCGCTTCCTTATTACGATGACCTAATGGGTCACTCAATATGTGGGAAAATATGAGGTCACGCTCTGGCTGCACCTGCAGCATGAAAAAATCTTGCTGGGGTTTGTAGATTTTCACTTTTGATGTGAATCAGCCACCCAATGTTTGCATTCAGCAAAGTATGAATGTTTAATTACAAGAAAAAATGCCATCGCCATCTTTCGCGGACAATGAATGGAGCATAGACCTCATTGAGGTTATCAAAAAGGGACCAGTGGCCAATTGGGTCAATGATTTGAATTGTTTGACAGACCCACAGGAACAAGAAGAGTTCAAAAATCCCAAGTAAATTTGAGAAGTTTGCCACGGAATCTGTTAGTCCGAACTGTCATAAGTAATTAAAGGCAACAAAAGGCCTTTGTGGTTAAAAGTTCAAGTTCAAACTGTAGAGTTAATTTGAATTTGCCCTGCTTTGTTCTAAGTTCCTCATGAATCATGATCTGATTACAAGGGTGAGCAGTTACATTAGTGCACTGTGTGCTTATTTCTCTAACCAAGACAAAATCATTTTTTTAAAGGTCCAGGTTACTGATACCAACCGAAGATTTCAGGAAGCTGGGAAGGAGGTAAGAAATGCAGTTGTTATTTATTATTTATTCATAAAGGATGGATATATGTTTCATAGGCCTGCTTTTACTTATGTTCTCCCACCCAAGCATCTTTTATGCCTCCTATGACCCCAAATTTGTGTGGCCGTTTGATATATGCCTATGGTTTCATAACATTTGCATGTGTTTGGATTTAAATGCATCTGTCATTTTTACAACAAAGGATTTGTTGCAAAGGTAGGAAGTGCCCTTGTTGTTTTTTATTATGAAGGTTTTATTGCATGTTGAAGTGTTATTTTAAGCTTCACTTGTTTAATTAACCACTTGCCCTCCAGAGGATTTACCCCCCTTCCTGACCAGGCCATTTGTGCGTTATGGCGCTGCGTTATTTTAACTGACAATTACGCGGTCATGCAACGCTGCACCCACATTAAATTTACGTCCTTTTTTCCCCACAAATTTAGCTTTTTTTGGTGATATTTGATTGCCTGTGCGTTTTTTTATTTTTTGCGCTTTAAAAAACAATTTTGAGACAAATTTTGAGACAAAAAAAACAATATTTTTTACTTTTTGCTATTAAACATGTCCAGTAAAAAATTTTGCCATAAATTTAGGCCAAAATGTATTCTGCAACATGTCTTTGCTAAAAAAAAATTCCCAATACTTGTAAATTAATTGGTTTACGTGAAAGTTATAGCGTTTACAAATGGTGGTATAGATACTGGAATTTTATTTTATTTTTTTTACTAATAATGGTGGCTATCAGCGACTTATAGCAGGACTGTGGCGAGCATTCTGACACTGGGGAGAAACTGACTTGGTGTCACTTACATCCCCAGTGACACCAATACAGTGCTAAAAAAAAGCACTGACACTGTACTAATGGCACCGGGCATGAAGGGGTTAACATGAGGAGCGATTAAAGGGTTAACTGTGTCCTGAGATGTTTTTTTAATAGGGGGCGGTGTGTGTGGGCTTTACTGTAAACACAATGCTCTGTATGGCTGTTCTGTGCACAGCTATCCAGAGCAGTGTGCCCGAGCCGACAGGGAGGAGGACTGTTTGTAAACAAAGCAGCCCTCCTCCCCGTCGGAGATCCTCAGTAATCACCGGGCGACGGTGGGTAATCACCAGCCGGGACCTGGTGATTGACAACCGCTGCCATGAATGGCGGCACCCCCTGCCCGGAAATGCGAAATCACGTATATATACGTGATTTTGTGCACCCCTGCCTCCCTGTAGCAGCATATCTGCTATAAGGCAGTGGGGATGTGGTTAAAGCGGTATTGACCCCACAAGTAAACATTTATTATATTGCAGCTTACCAATTCTCAGATGTGATGTCTGCATTCATTTTCTTTTTAGACTTCTTTTCTTTTCTTTTCATTTGGTGATCTTGCCAGTCTGTTGTTTTACAAAGAACACCTCTTGCAAGATATAACAGTTACAGAAATGAGACAAACCATTAAATACTGAAAGAGATGTTTACAATTATCAGCATTTATTTGTCTTTGTAAAATCTTTATCCCAAAAGAAAAAAAACTGCTGTAACTGCTCATAAAGTGTTAGATGGAGCTTCAATTTGTTAGTGTATTTAAATCTCCATCTATCGCACCACCCTTCCCCAGACTGACAATGCTGCTTTCCAAATGTGCCCCTGTGCTCCTTCATCCAGACTTGGGGAACTCTAATACAGGTGATGTGTTACTGGCCAGATCACTAGGTGAAAACAGAGGGAAAATGCGTAAGAAAAGAAAACTAATGCAGCTACCACATCTAATTATTGGTAAACTGCAATATATTACATTTTTTGTTTTGGGTGTAATATTGCTTTAAATCGTAACTTTGCATTTGCACAAAAACATGGCAGCTAGGAGTTGTCTTTTTATTAGGCTTGAACAATCATTGCTCCATCTCATAAAATCATTATTTAATTAATAAAAAATTTTTACAACCATTTATTTCTCTTGGGTATGTATTTTTTCTTATTAATTTTTACTTTATTTCCACCATGAAAAGGCTCAGTTTTCTGGTTTTAAAATCATATATAATACAAAAGTTGATAATATAACACAGAAAGGTAAGAATCAGTAAATTACCCTGATTTCTATTTTAGAAACTTTTTTGAAAACTGAAGATGTATTTTTCATAAAAAAAATTATGGGGGGAGGGGGATAGAGGGGTGGGGGATGGGGAAGGGGTGAGCAGTCAAGGCCAAGATAAGGTAGGAGAGCGCTTGAGTGGATGGTTTGGGTGACATTTTGAGATGAGATTGGTGATGAAGCTGGGGTCAGAGTTGTGGATTGCTTTGTTTGTTATTAGTATTTTGAATTTGATACATTGACCTAGTACAAGTCAGTGGGGGGAATGGCAGAAAGAGGCAGCCACTGAACGGTTAGTAAGGTGAATGGGTCTAACAGTAGTATTTATGATGGATTAAAGAGAGGTTTGCTTGTGTAAAGGAAAGCAAAGAGACAGTTGCTGTGCATTGAGGCAAGAGATAGCCAGAGTAAGAATTAGAAGTTTTGTGGTGTGTGTTATAAAGCGGTGAATTTTGGAAATATTACGGAGGTTAAGGCACCTAGGTTTGGACAGTGATTAGATGTGTGGAAAAGAACAGACAAGGGCGCACTCTCATCGTGCATTACCGTGGTAAAACACGTATTTATTGAATAAAAAGAGGATATATACTCACAAACCAACGTGATTAAAAGCAGTATAAGTGGTCCACAAAGACAGTCACAATACATCTGTGTCTAATGATGCCAATGAGCTGATGCGTTTCGGGAGCTGAACCCCCTTCCTCAGAGTGATTAGATGTGTGTCCTAAAGGAAAGGTCAGAGTCTAGGATTATAGATGGACTGATAGTTGTCATTTTGATCTCAGTGGAAAATCCAGAGGAAGGGACAAGTGGGATATGACTTGCTATAAATTGTTATTCATCCACCCTCCATTCAGGCATTGATGCTAGTTAAATTCTGCATCTGGTCATTTTCCTAGTGATTTTTTGCCCACTCCTCAGTTGGATTGCTTTTGGCCGCTCCAGAAAAGCTATTCAACTCTTCTACAGTCCTGTGTCTCTCAAAGAAAATAAGATTTTCGTACAATTAAATATATGTCTTGGAATCCGTTGAGGGACACAGGTCCCACCCATGTGTTTATAGCGTTATATACTGCTTGCTTACAAAACTGAGACATGACCGTTAAAGACATTGTTCTGAGAAGGCTGGCTTAACCTTCTGTAGACTGTTCTACAATCCTGCCCCTCAATGGACTCCAAGAAAAAGATTTTATATTAAGTACAAAAATCTTTTTTTACATGCCACTTTCCACTCATTGACCACTGATTGTACTTGCCACAGCCAGACAGGTACATAAAATGTGTGCCTATACATCTCTGGATCCAAACTCTGCATGGCAGCAGTGATAGCTAATAAGCCACGGTTCTCTAATATCTTTTAGTATAATATTTTTTTTTCATATACCAGGTCATTGCTAAGACAGAAGATATCATAAGATGCAGAATACAGCAGAGAAATATTGCAACTGTAGTTGATAGGCTGCAGTTGTGCCTTCCGGGTGAGTAATATTCTGTACTACACTATTACTATATATTAGTGACATTATTGGCCACATCACGTTTTTTTTACATGAGTATTATTAATTTACGAAGAAGTCAGCAATTAGCTTATAGAGAGGACAAGTACTGAGGATTCAATAGTGTTTTTTTTTTAAGTAATTAAAAAAATAATTGTTCATATATGATCTTTGTAAATGCAGATTTATTGCATGATTGGAAAAATGTTATCTAAAAAATTGGTGAATATAAAGTTTCTCCATATAAAAATAGCTGTTAACTTTTACTGATAAGTACATTTACCAAATGTATGTGTACTGAGTTTATACTGTATGATATGATGGGGAATAATTCTATGCCTGGCTACATGGAGCCTATACCAAATGCAGATGGGATAGGTGAGCAGGCTGTATGGTCCTACATGAACAATACATAATATCCAGTCTGAATATTTAGCTTGGAGACAAACTGAACAGTTAATTTTGCTGGAAATTGAACACATCTTACATTATATTTGGTCTATGTACAGATAAAGTCATTAGTTGTCCCATTACAGCATTTATCAGCCTAGCTTACTTTTGCTTTGGCAAAGTTATGTGTAGCTCACGATGCAACCACTGATATTAAACCATGCTAAAGTTACTAGCCATCTAAACAGATTTGAGCTTGAGCAATACAAAAATAAACTACAGTTTCAGTAAAAAAAAATCATGGTGTAGCAGCAGATCCTATTAAGAGACCCACAACAGTACAGTTATAGACCCAAATACTGTCATCCTAACAAAGCAATATTGACACCAGGACAGTGCTGTTTTAAGATAAATCTATTCCACTATATAGCCAAAATAGTGTTGTAGAAAATGTCTGATTACAATCCTGAATTGCCAGTCATGCAGCATTAAAACGTTTTTGTTACCGAATCAGATTTGTTCAGCTATGACATACTTCCTCAACATGGGGACCTTATAAATGGAAAACACATTTTCTTTTTGTCCATTGAGGGACACATAAATCAGAGACAATTGGGTTATACTGCTGCCTGTAGGAGGATTTGGATACTGGCAAGCAAAAAAAACCCCCCAAAAAACAGTGTCCAGCAATAGCTATGGAGGCTGTACCTGGACTAGACAATTTCTGGGATAGCCTGGAAGGTATCATTAAGACACTAGGCTTCATATTCTGGTGTACTTCATTAGATACCCACAGATTCCTCTCCAGGTCCAGAGCCATGGCACAACATCTACTGTCATTGAGTCTCTAAAGACTCACTTTGTAACTAGGCTGCGTGGGCTAAGCACTGGGAATTAGCTAGGTATGAAGACTTTTGGATGGCCTTAATATCCCTATTTTCTGTCAGTTTACTCTGGAAAGGGTTAATGGTGAGGACTAAGTGATGATACAGTTAGCTTAGGGGAGTGTTTTCCGCTACTGCTCTTAATCACAAAGGATTTTCTCGGTTGGCCTTTGTTGTCTACCTACAGTGGTCACCTTCGGCCCTATGAACCTCTTCTGTCATCTGCATTTGGTTATTGAGTACCCGAGGTTTAGCCTGGTACCCTGAACTGAATTGTCGCTGCCTTGCAGTGCAACATGTTGGGTCCTAGACACATGAGGATCAGTCCCGCTGTAATGAGTCTCTCCAGTTCATATCCATTAATGGCTCCAGTGTTGCCTGAAGTACACCTACGTGAGCATCTGACACTGACAGCCTGGAATGTTATCCTTTGCTCGAGTCCCCTGAGTCTTCCATAGCGTCATCCGACATAGCCCCCTCATCAGTTCTCTCCTAGGAGCATTTCACTGCAGTTATGCAGGGATTTATGGGACTAATTGCAAATCGAATAGCTGCTTCCATGCTTTCCCCTGCTGAATATATCTGACCTGCCCTAGCAGCCTCTAACCCTTTCGCCGCACACTCTTTTCGATGAAACTCTCAGAAATCCTATCCTTAATGGATGACATTAACTCTGAGGAGTTTCAGACAGTTAACATTACTTTCAGGCTTTAAGAGACTGTTTTAGCTCTTGTTAATATTGTGTGATCCACTTTAAAACTGAAAAAGCAGCCTGTAGCTTCTGCCACTGCTGCTACCTGTCTAGGTTCTCTTAGTGATCCCCAAAACTGGCAAAAACCTCCCAGTGCATCTGCTAGTCCCAGACGACTTTAATGGACTGGGACGCTTTTATTATGAAGTTTGACATTATGTCTGCAGACCTAGCAATATCCCATATTAATAATTGCTATCAATCCATTTAGAGCAGGGGTCCTCAAACTTTTTAAACAGGTACAGGACACAGTACAGGAGATGACCAGAGACTGCAGACATAGTACAGGAGATGGACCAGAGACTGCGGACATAGTACAGGAGATGACCAGAGACTGCGGACACAGTACAGGAGATGACCAGACACTGCGGACATACAACGGCGGCGGGAATACTGGGCCGGCCGCTCCATAAGACGCACAGACATTTCCCCCCAAGTTTGTCTTATGGAGCGAAATAGTGCCCCATCATTGGTGTCAGTGGGAGGAATAGCGCCCCATCATTGGTGTCAGTGGGAGGAATAGTGTCCCATCATTGGTGTAAGTGGGAGGAATAGTGTCCCATCATTGGTATCAGTGGGAGGAATAGTGCCCCATCATTGGTGTCAGTGGGAGGAATAGTGTCCCATCATTGGTATCAGTGGGAAGAATCGTGCCCCATCATTGGTGTCAGTGGGAGGAATAGTGTCCCATCATTGGTATCAGTGGGAGGAATAGTGCCCCATCATTGGTGTCAGTAGGAGGAATAGTGCCCCATCATTGGTGTCAGTGGGAAGAATCGTGCCCCATCATTAGTGTCAGTGGGAGGAATAGTGCCCCCATCATTGGTGTCAGTGGGAAGAAACGCGCCCCATCATTGGTGTCAGTGGGAAGAAATGTGCCCCATCATTAGTGTCAGTGGGAGGAATAGTGCCCCATCATTGGTGTCAGTGGGAAGAAACGTGCCCCATCATTAGTGTCAGTGGGAGGAATAGTGCCCCATCATTGGTGTCAGTGGGAAGAATCGTGCCCCATCATTGGTGTCAGTGGGAGGAATAGTGTCCCATCATTGGTATCAGTGGGAAGAATCGTGCCCCATCATTGGTGTCAGTGGGAGGAATAGTGTCCCATCATTGGTGTCAGTGGGAAGAATCGTGCCCCATCATTAGTGTCAGTGGGAGGAATAGTGCCCCATCATTGGTGTCAGTGGGAAGAAACGTGCCCCATCATTGGTGTCAGTGGGAGGAATAGTGCCCCATCATTAGTGTCAGTGGGGGGAGGAATAGTGCCCCATTGTTGGTGTCAGTGGGGAGAGGAATAGTGCCCCATCGTTAGTGTCAGTGTGGGGGGAGGGGAATAGTGCCCCGTCATTGGTGTCAGTAGGGGAAGGGGATAGTGTCCCAACATTGGTGTCAGTGGGAGGAATAGTGTCCCATCATTGGTGCCATTGGGAGATATAATGTCCCATCATTGGTGTCAGTGGGAAGAATAGAACGTCATTGGTGTCAGTGGGGCGGAATAGTGCCCCATCATTGGTGTCGGGGGGGGGGGGGGGGGGATAGTGTCCCAACATTGGTGTCAGTGGGAGGAATAGTACGTCATTGGTGTCAGTGGGGCGGAATAGTGCCCCATCATTGGTGTCGGGGGGGGATAGTGTCCCAACATTGGTGTCAGTGGGAGGAATAGTACACCATCATTGGTGTCAGTGGGGGAAGGAATAGTGTTCCATCGTTGGTGTCAGTGGGGGGAGGAATAGTGCCCCATCGTTGGTGTCAGTGGGGGGAGGAATAGTGCCCCATCGTTGGTGTCAGTGGGGGAGGAATAGTGCCCCATCATTGGTGTCAGTGGGAGGAATAATTCCCCATCATTAGTATCAGTGACACCAATGATGGGGCACTATTCCTCCCACTGACACCAATGACACTTAACTTGCTGACTCCTGTTCCAGCATGGTGCTGCTGCAGCCAGCATACCTGGTTTGCAGCAGCACCATCTGCACGGCACACTTACCTGTCAGCTGTCCTTCTTCAGTCCTGTCTCTCTCTCACTCGATGTTCGCGGGGCTGCTCGGCTCAGCCTCCTCGCAGGTGATTAGAGAGAAAAACAGGTGGCGCACACACCTAGTGCATTATCCAAGGTTTATTGTAGGAATTAAATCATAAAAACATACTCACAGACGAAGCATGTATCTAAAAAGCATAGAAAAATGACAATGGCCACAACGGCAGGCAAGGTGTTCTCACTGTCAGTGCGGTCAAATGGCTGACGCGTTTCGGGGACGAATCCCTTTCCTCAGAGCTGATGACCAACCTCTGATGCACGATGAATGGAAAGTAAAGTGAGAGCCCTGCTGTTGATGCCTGACTCAGGCATCAACAGCAGGGCTCTCACTTTACTTTCCATTCATCGTGCATCAGAGGTTGGTCATCAGCTCTGAGGAAAGGGATTCGTCCCCGAAACGCGTCAGCCATTTGACCGCACTGACAGTGAGAACACCTTGCCTGCCGTTGTGGCCATTGTCATTTTTCTATGCTTTTTAGATACATGCTTCGTCTGTGAGTATGTTTTTATGATTTAATTCCTACAATAAACCTTGGATAATGCACTAGGTGTGTGCGCCACCTGTTTTTCTCTCTATCCAGTGGCTGATTTCCCCGTCTGAGGAGGGCTGCACCCCTGGAACATTTCCTTTTGGTTGTCGCTGTCCTGGTACCCTTGGCTTCCCTTTTGGCTGTGCATATCTTGAGGCGCTGGAGAGTACATACGCTATCCTCGCAGGTGATTGGCCGCCTGTGTGCCTTTCCTGAGCTACAGTTCTGGCGCCCAATCACCGGTGAGGAGGCGAAGCCGAGCGGCAGTGCGAACATCGAGTGAGGGAGTGGCCAGAGTGAATGAAGGAGCAGAGCTTCCTGGACTGGATCGTCGTGGGACTGGCACCGGAGCCAGGTAAGATACAGCAGCCCCCTGCCCGTCCCTGTAC